ATAGGTTAGATTTTCCTATTCAGCTTGTTTGATGATGGTTTTAATATACTACTGAATTGAATGTGAAGAGTTCTGAGCCTAAAAAGAGTCACATATCCTACCTCAAAATTTGATATTATATTAAGTTAAAGAGAAATTTAAGTCTGTAATTTAACAATATAAAAATAAATCAAAAGCACACAGAACTCAATTTTCTTTGAATTTTTGTAATTACTGAGACAAATGATCACAAAGTTGAGTCTTTAGATTTAATCCACATTCAGAAGCAAAAAAATACTGTAAGGCATCATTGGAGTTCCTTTATGTCAGCAGAGACTAAATTGCTATTAACTTAGAGGAACTGAGCTATTCACTTAATCAGCATCTGAGATGGTTCTGGGTGATTCATGGTGGGCTCTTCCTGAATTTGATTGATGCAGTCAATATTTTAATGGCAAGAAATTATTTCCGAACATTTAAGCAACTGGGTGGCCACAAATTGTTTATTTTATAGTAAGAGCATGATAATAGCAAAGATTTGTTACTATACAAGTGTGCAGATCACAAAGTTCGTGAAAATAGGGGTCTGTTGTTAAGGCAAATTATTTAATTTTATCCTATGTCCTTCAGGAAATAAAGTGCTGGCACGTGAAGCTAAATAATTACCATGGGAAAGATCTGTTGGATCTCTGTTCCTCCCTCCATAGAGCCCTGACATATCAGATGGAATTTTTTTCAGTGTGTTTGAATGAATTAAGCTTTCTGCTCTGAAAGATGGTAGGTACACTTTATTTTCAAACATAAACAGGAATGTTGGATGTTTAGTCTGTTCTATAAGCAGCTTCGTCTACAGGTAGTTCTGCCAATGATAAGTCGCTTGGGTATAATACAAGCTGAAAGTATGGTTTTCTGGTCTGCAAAACTGAATCATGCCATGCCACCAAATTTTCAATACTTTACTTGCTGTAAGCACTTATCTTTTGGGTGTATTTCAACAACAACGTGCATTTATATCGCGCCATTCATGCAGGAAAGTGTTTCGGAGCGCATAACCTGACACGGAGCCAGGGGGAGGTGATGGTAAGCACGGTCGAAGAGGAAGGTCTTCAGGTGTGATCTGAAAATGGGAAAGGAGGGAGCAATGAATTGGTTGTTGTGGTCAGTGTTGTAATGGCACAGTCTTCAGAACCTCTTAGAAACAATTCTTTATAAGTTTACAAATGATTATAAAGACTTTCTTATCTACAATTGGCCGCTCAAAGAGAACCACATTTTTTCACAGAGCAACCCTAACTATTTGCAGCTCCTTTTATATTTACTGTTTAAATAATATTGCAAATGTCATATTGGAGGCATTTCTTTTCCTCTAAATCATGTCAATCAATATCAAATTAATTCTCTGAAACATGACGACCTCCTAACCCCCTACCAACCCGCCCGCTCCCTCTGCTCAGCCGGCTCTGGCTGCTCCACATCTCCCGACCCACTCACCCCACCATTGGCGGGAGAGCCTTCAGCCACTCTGCTTCCTCTGGAATTCCATCCCCCAGTCACTCCGCCTCGCCCCCTCCTTTGCCTCCTTCAAGTCCCGCCTCAAGACCCTCCTCTTCGACCATGCCATCGGCCACCCGCCTTCCCTTCCCTTATCCCCCCCTGACCCCAGCTCGGATCTGAAATGCTTTACACTGTCCAGCACCTTGGGACGTCCTCCCAGCGTGAAAGGCGCTATACAAATGTAATCTTGTTGTTTTATCCATAGCCTTTATTCATCAGAAGTCTGAGCCATTAACTAATATCAAAAATCTTAATTCTAAGGTCCAATGGTTAATGTATCAGTAAGTATTATAGCTTTTCCTCAGATAATTAAAAGGATTGAGTCATGTCTGCAATGAGATTGATGAACGTAGCAGGCTTGAGCTGAACGGCTTTTTGTTCTATACTTTATTCTTAAAAGCAGCTTGTGTCTAATTTCATATTATTAATCAAACCAAGTAAATCCATACTGAGCTAGACTGATTCTTGATTTAATTCCTTTCCCATTTTTGAATTATGATACAATAATTTGCTATGGCAAAGTAGTGAATATCCAGTTATAATCAGTGCACCATGAGTGTAGATATTCTAGTGAATCATTGTCTGATATTTTGAGCATTTAGGTGAACAAAGTAAATTGTAAATTGATATCCATTGAAAAAATAATTGAAGCTCATTTATGTGTTGGTGCATTGTGTTAAAAGACACAATTTTTATCAACAATTTATTTTGACTAGAAAATTGTAAAAGCAAACTTTTTTTAAAATCCGTTTTATTATCTTTTTGTGACAATATATTGAAACAAACAATGAGGTCTGGTTGCCTTGCTTATCAACATAGTTGTTTTCAGTTGAACACACCGAAGTTGCAGATCCTCTGTTCTTTAAATATACACTGTTTTTGATAGTGTTTAAGGGATTCTTCAACAAAACTGTGAGACAAAGTCAACCAGCTGAAATGTAACTCTTGGATCTTGTTTGAAAAACAATGGTGTGGCTGAAAATTCTACATTTTTGAAGGCATTATTCATCTTTTGTCAAAACATAACGCTTCTGCCGAAAGGTAAAAACTGAACAGAAAAAATTTGGCAAAAACATGAAAGCATAGTATAAAAAGTATAAAGTGCATGATGACAGATTTAGGACCATGTTGCTGATGAACATTTACCTGACTTAGCAACAAACTCTCAATTCTCTCACATTTCACCTTGTGTATCTGGTCTGGCACCAAGTATCCTGGATTCAGTGTCCATCTAACTTCCAAACAACAGTTGCACTTAAATTGCGGCTTTCACATAGTACAAATGTCTCAAAAAGCTTCATAGAAACAATGGATATCCATGGGCAGAAAAGGAAATTTAATGGTATTGATCAAAGGCACAGTAAATAGGATAAGTATTTTAAGAGGGCTGTGAAAGTCCAGAGAAAAGGTCCAAGGAGAAGAGGTTTTGGGAACGAGTTCCAGAGTGGGGTGTATAGTGGCTGAAGACTAGTCGCTGACGGTAGTAAGGGGCAGCAGTATCTCCAAAGTACATAGCAACCTGTTATCAACAGTCCAATATCTCAGAGGCCGCATTATAAGTGAAGCACAAAAAAAGCTGACCTTTGGGTTATTTGTCATTTATGTCACTACACGCGCTATGCACAAGAGCATCTGCTTTCTCAGCAACATTTTCTACGTTGAACACAACGGAATTGACATCAGTTGCAACCCGATGACTCGGACGTTGGCATTTTTTTTAAAGCATGAGAAAAGGGTGTACCGTGCTTCCAATTAGTGTGGCTCCACAGGACATCAGCACTGTAAGTGAACCCAAGGTAACACAAAGGGGTATGGGGGCTGTATATAGTCAGTACAACAACCCATTCTCTATCTCTGTTACTCTGCCCCTCTAGCACTGTGTTCCATTCCCAGCCAGTACTTGCTGTCAGATGCCTACATTACAATATCACTTGCTTTTTATTCAGGAAAAAAATCAGCTCAAAGTTCCTAATTGCTTTCCAGCGACCTGTGCTGGAACTTGCACATGTGTGGTTTCGAGTGAGAACAGAAATCAAGTCACCCATAGTAAAATAGTCTGCTAACAATCACCATCTATACTTACACATGAAAAATAGCCACTTTGTCAAGGTACTGATGTTAAATACACTCTGATGTGAGCTTGCATCTTTAAGAGGGGAGAAGGATGAGGATTTTAAATGTACACCCACAAATAGATAGAGTATATTCACAGCACTCAAAGCTTGGATAGACTGCCTTCAATAATATTCCTTTGGTTTCATATGATGACAAAGAAGAGAGGACAAGACTGAATTCAGTTGATGGAAAACGTAGCAAACTTTGCATACTTTGGGAGTGTTAACATAGCTTAAATAAACAGGAGAATGGACAAAAATAATCCCAATTCTAGATTCATTGCATTTGCATCTCCCTGGTACTGGGCCTAATGTACATTAACCATACATTTAAAAAGAACTGCTGTTTAAATGATAATTTTTTGTACATCATGAAAAAAATCTGATCAGTGATTGTTAGCTTCAAATGAAGTGACCCACATTACAGCGAAAATCCTAAAATCAGCAAAGGCAGATTCTGCATTTTGAAAAAAGCCAAAGTAGCACATTAAAGTTATTAAAGGTGCTAGGTTTTAAATACATAAAGTCTCTAAGAATAAACAACTATTCCCTTTTTATTTACATATGATTTCAAGCAACAAAGAATCCTCTAAATGCCTGACTTGCCCAAATTTTGTCCTCAAAGGGACACTCAGCCCTTTTATTTTGAAGTTAGTTACGTTATCTAATTTATGCAGTGTTTATGAAGCTCGTTTTGCAATATAAAAGTTTCAAGTCAGTTGAAAATATTTTGATTAAAATGTATATTTATCAAAAACACAAACAGATACTCTTTTTGAAAGGATAGGATAGCTCCATTTTAAAGGCACCACGCAGAGAAGCTTTGCTGCTGGGGAATGTGTAATGCAGAATGATACTCTTACCTTTTACAACAATGCAAAAAAAAGTCGGATCATGCTAAAACAAATTGTAACTTGATAAATTTGACTGGAGGGGAAGATGATGCAACTGTAATTTAATCTTGTTTCAGAATTTACTGATGCAATTCTGAACAAAACATTCAATTAGTTCTTTCTTGCCAATTTTTTTTTGCGGGGGGTTCAACACCTGCAGGTCTGACACGTGCATAAACCCATCAACATACCAAACCAAGTATCCAAACCAAGCTGAAACTTCTATGCATCCCACTTACACATGGAAATTACAGAGAGAGATTGTTGGAATGGAATGCGTAATCTCTCCCTGGATGATGCATCCTGCTTACCTAATTCCGGAAAGTATTAGGGGCAGGTTTGCAAGAGCCAAGGCTTGGAAACCCGAGAGTGTTCGTTGGGGTAACTGCTGCAGTCTAAACCAGCTAAAAACGCATATTTTTGCCATTGATATTGCTGTCTGGCAAGCTTTCCTGTTGCTTGTCCATTTGGACCACCCTACTTGTTCCTGTGCCAAATGAGTACAGTGTATTCGATAGAAAGAATGTCCCACAACATTTAATGTACAAAGCAAATATTAAGCGTTCTATACAACCTTATGGATCTGACATTTCCGCACCAACTGACAAAACATTTTGATAATAATATGACTGAGATAGTATTTTAAGTTGAACAGAACCTCTACGGTATAAATTAATGGTGAAAAATAAGGAAGATATTCAGCTGAGAAAGATTGAAAACTATTCAGTACTGAAAGGTTGTAGCACTCAGGTCATGAATGCTTTTAGTCTATTCAATAACCCATAACTACATATTTCTATTTATATTATGGAAGCACTGTTGAATATCTTAGGATTCACTAGTGGTGATTCCATTTTAGTTACACTTCTTTGAAGGCAGAGCGGTTTCTGATGATGTCCGATGGTGAAAATGGAAAAATTGGCAGTTTGCAAGCTATTGCATGTCTCAGCTGACTTTATTAAGTCGTTTTCTACTGAATGAAGTGAGTCTCCATACCGTTTTCATGGTGCACATCTGTAGGGCAGAGAGAATACTTGACACCTACCTGGCTTGTCATGTTTATCAGCATTTTGCTAGTAATATAAAAGTGTAAAAAGCAGTTTTAAAAAGTCTCAACAGAGTCAAACGGAGTCTTTTAGGACATAAAATGTACAACTACTGACCAAGGAGTAGGCATCTGGCAGCTCAATGGGAGGAAAAGAAACCTAAATGAACTCCCCTCGGAAAGGAAGTGAATTTGTACTCTGTTGCAGCCAACGGTAACGCAGTCCAGAAAGTGGTGTGTCTTGCGGGTCTTCAAATTCAAGGAAACCCAGCTGGTTCAGAATCTCATAAACGCCAGCCTTGGCTGCTACCTGAATGAATACATGCAAAGAACAATGTTTTTGTTATTAAGTCTTTCTTTAAATATTTCATATGCTAAAGACCACTTCAGTTGTTTTCGTTTTACAAAAATCATTTTAGAAATATTTACGAAAATAACAACTTTAGCCACACAATTGCATATTGTAAATATATTAATCCTTTAATTAGAAATCAAATCAAATTTAATCAAATAAAAGATAACACACCCTTTTGTGTGATTATATGAATATATTGATGCAAACAGTAAAATACCTAAACTTTTACATTAAAATTACCAAGCGTGGATGACAAAGCACAGGGGCTTTCCATATTTAAACCATTTAGTAAGACATTAAAGAGCCCGGTAGATGCAAGCTTAGATCGTCTCATCACCTTTTAAATGTGGATGACATTTTATGTTATGCAACAGATGTATTAGTATTTTAAAAGTATAGGGGCTCTAAAGCATGGTAAATTTTCAGTGGAGATTTGTTATTTGTTAGTACCAACAGCATTTGAAAAGTACAAATTGAATATCATTAAAATAATCCTTACATTTTAGATAGTACCTTTCACGTCAGGAGGGATATCTCAAAGCACTTCACAGTATCTTACTGTAAAGTGCAGTCAGTGCATTTTGTAATCTCCCTCCTTCTATAAGGACTCGGGGATTGTTGGTCTCCTGACTGGAGAAACTCTCTACTCTTTTCAAATAGTGCCATGGGATTATTAATGTTCACCTGAACAGGCAGATGGGACCTTGATTTAATAATAACAATCCTTGCATTTGACATAGTGCCTTTTGCATCAGTAGGATATCCCAAAGTGCTTCACAGGATTTAACTATGAAATGGAGTGACTGTGTACTTGTAGGCAAATGCAGCAGTCGAATTGCCCACAGCAATCAACCATAAACAGCCACAAAACGAATTACCAATTTTATTTGGGGGATTGTTGGCCAGGAGAAACTCCCTTCGCTTTTCAAATAGTGCCATAGGATCTTTAATGTCTACCTGAAAAGGCAGACGGAACTTCAGTTTAACGTCACATCTGGTACTGCTAACAATGCAAACCCCCGCCCCACCCCTAGCATTGCATTGGAGTGTCGTCTTAGACACTTAGTTCCAAGTCCCAATGTGGAGCTTGAACCCACAGCCTTCTGACTCAGAGGCGAGGGTGTTACCACTGAGCTGGGTTGACACACTCTGAGCCAGATTAGCACACATATAATATCTCATCCGATGAACGACATCTCCAGCAATGTCATGCTCTACAAGCATGCAATGGAGTTTCATTCTAGACTGTGAACTCCACATCCCAACGTGAGGGCTCAAACTCACCAACTTTCGACTCAAGAGGTAATAGTGCTGCTGTGAGCCAGTATGACATCCATTATTGAACAATTACTGATTTTTAAAAAATATATAAACCCTCGAAAAACACAATAACTAAACCAGTAATTTTAGGATTTGCCTCAGACTAAATTGTTTTCATAACACAGTTAAATCAGGACAGATTCAGAAGGAAGGAATAGTTGGGAATATTCATTCTTTGCTTCATATGCAAACTAAGTGGAAAAATCCCACTGTGACACACGTGTGTTTAGGAGATTTCTATTATTCTCCTTCATAGGGAAATGTATTGGGGGAAAAGATCTGATAGCAGTGGGGTAAATTACTGCCAGGATAGAGAGAGAGAAAGACCAATGATACCTCATTTTTACAATTGTCAGGTCAATCATCAATTTACCAACAATAGAATAAGACTACTGCAAGCTATCACAGCAAGCAAGAAAATCTACCCAACTATCGCTTAGCCCTAAGCCTAAAACCACACCTAATGTACCAGCACAGCATTTATTTTCCCAGATCAATTATAATTATTGTTCTTTCCGAGTGTGTGTTAGGTTCAATCAGTTCCAGACTGCTCACAGCCTGAGAACTTGGTTGAGAATGCTCAAACTGATTTCACCAAGGCTGCTTCACACCCAATAATGTGCAAAAACTTAACAGCCTTTTCATTCCTTCCCCCACTCCTAACAACACTCAATTTTCAGACATTTTGCAAATTTGCACACATGGTAAGGTGTTGATCCTCTATATTAGCATCATTTCCTGCTTAGTTTTATGTCAGATCAGTATGATTTACCTCATGCCAACTTAATCCTATAGTGGTCCATATAATTACATTTCAGAAAAACGTGCAACAAAAAAAGGTATAATAATAATCCTTGCATTTGATATAGCGTGTTATCACATCTTTGAGTTGTCTCAAAGCGCTTCACAGAATATGCTGTAAAGCGAATTAGCTGTATATTTGGTGAGCGAAATAAAAACAGACTGTTCAGCAATAACGATGTGATAATATTACTTGGCATATTCAAGAAACTGTTGAAAAACTTGTGGTCACACTTGTGTTTTAAACCCCTCCAAAATTAGTGATTTCTTTGTCAAGCATATAGATGGACTAGTTGGGGCTTGTTTCTGTTCTATGTAATTCTATGTAAGTAGTTATCCCACCACACACTCTGAGGTACCCAAGCTTTGACTCTTACCACTCTGCACCCAATGCTCTTCAGAATTAGAAAAGAAAGGGGCATCTCTCAGGGAGAGTGCACATTCCATTCCAGACATAAAGAAATTCCCAAGTGTAAGTGGCATACCCATATGGAATTCTCAGTTTGGTTTGAATGCTGCTAAGCATGGTGATGGATTTCTGCAGGTATCAATCAGAGGCCCAGGAGACCAATACAAAAACATCTCCTGCCTCAGTCTTTCTCTCTCCACATCCTCCTCCTTCAGTTTGTAAGATAAGACAACATGAACATACATCCATGACCACCATCACTGATGCTGCATAATTATACAGCGTGTAAGATGATTATTTTACCATTCCTGTGTGCCTTCGAGACTGACCATTCCAATTAGATGTGGTACTCCAGATGTGGTCCATCTAAGATCCAATAAAATCTACCAATAGAGGGCACCAGATTTCAAATCAAGTCAAGACAAAATATTGCTCTTGGGACCTTCCCAATGGGACTTATCTCCCTATATCTTTGAAGATTTTGGGCTGCCCTACTTCATTTTCTGAAAATATTATTTCAGAAAGTTTACTAAAATATTTGCAGCCACAATGGGGCAATGTCCCTTGGAAGTATCTTTTTGACCCCAGTTTTTACTCAGAGGAACAGCCTGAATTCTCGTTTCTGTACACCAACCACCCCAATGACTTCTTGGAGTGGGATTACAAATTTAATGCCAATTTTGGGCCAAATTAATTTTATACCGTGGGCCTGTATCCACAACCAATAAGGGTGAGATACCCACTTCACTTGGTTCCATTATATCTGCCAAAGTGAAAAGACCCATCTCATCAAATCATGTTGACATCAAATTCACTGTACAACCAGCTCCTTTCAATATAAATCCTCGGTAATGTCTGGCACATGGATATCTTACTCAAAGGTATTTACATTTGAATGTAGCTAGGCTCAACTCAAACTGAAATTACACCACTAAATAAATCTACAGAACATATACAGTCCCCCCCCCCAATGTCCATTAAAGACGTGATTTTAACAAACTTTGTTCACTCAGTTTTTGTAAGCAAACCGGCTCAAATACAATGGTGTGGACATTTTTCAAAGTTTAATTTGAATTATTTTATTTATGAAATGCATCATCTCAAAAACATTTCCAAGCAGGAGATCAACTGCACAATTCTAAAAACAAAAATGATTGAATATAGGGAAAGTGAGGAGCTGGCTGCAGTACAGTAGTTACAATGCTTAGATGGTAGTTTTCCTACGAACTCTTTAAGTGAATTCTCTACAATCTAAATTCATCAGCTGTGATTGTGACTGGACTTGGCAGGTGTCTCTTTCATCTGCCATTGAGTAGATCAAACTTGCCAATACGAATTACTAGGGCTAATGGAGATGCAGAGGGTGAATCTTTCCCACAGCACAATCATGGACTCTTCATGTATTGCACAGATGATGGGAGTGGGACGTTTACAATATCACAGATGCCTGGAAGTCCTGTATAATCCTTTGAGTACCACTTCTTTCAGGAGGGTGTTCTTCAAATGCTGGGATTCAAAAATGTTTGCTAAGAACCTGCACACATTGTATTTGCTGCAAAGGTTATATCTCCTATTAAGTCTGATGCTACTGTTAATATTAATTTTACAGATACGAATAGATGTAAAGCAAACTTCTATACACATGATCCGAAGCAATATTTTCAAATATGTTTGTTCCTCCATATAGTTCCCTTAATTCATTTTAATAGTCATAATAATCCTTGCCTTTGACGTAGCTCCTTATCACGTCATTGAGGCTTCTCAAAGCGCTTCACAGAATATACTGTAAAGTGAATTGATTGTATATCTTGTGGGCAAAACGCAGTAGTCAATGAGCACAACAGTGTTCCACAAACAGCTGTGGATTGATTGACTGAATTATTGTAATAATTTATTTATTATGAAAGGATTATTAGCCCCAGAAAAGCGATCCGTCAATCTACTAACAAACGATTATTATAAAATGAATCTCCTCATATATTTGTTAAAAATCTAAATAACCAAAGTGAACTACCTTTTCAGAAAAAATAAAAATCTCAAAAATACTGAAGATGGTTACAGTTACATCTGCAACCCATCAACATCAAACCTGGATTTCATAATTATCGGTCCAGTTTAAAATGTTAGTACAATCCTGACAAGATGCATGATATACTTGGATGGAGAATACTGGTTTGCAATTGTTGCTGGATCTGAGTCAACTGCACTGAACTATTTATGGTTGTGTGTCAGAAGAACAGGATGTTATAAAGATTAAACGATTACAGACAATATAAGCATCCATCACACCCAATGGAAGTAAACCATAACACCACTTCTTCGCATCAAGTTCAGTATTATCATCATGTTGAATAACAGAGACTGGACATTCACACTTGGTTACATCATCTATTTTACACAACAGCTGCTAAAATTCAATGTGCAA